TTTAGTCGTGTCTGAACTACAGTGTGAAGTGGCTCTTAGCAAGGTTGGGCTTATCTCTTTACAAAATAGCTAAATCAGTTATGAAATTGTTTCATTTGAAAGTGTGATTTGTTTTTAAGGTGTGTTGTTTTCTTTCTTCTAACCCTGCCTCCAGTAGAAGCACCTCCTACAGATAGCATTTCGGAAGCAAGCTCTCCTGGAGAATTATCCAGCCCAGGTACGATACTTATGCTTTACATCCCGTGATTACTGAGGGGAGAACTTTGGTCACAGTTAAAGAACGAATCCAATTATAATACTCTGTGTGAAAGAGACACAAATCCCCTAGCTTCATTTCCCAGATTTTCCCAAATATCCCATGTATCCTGAAATCAGCCCTTCCACACCCGTCCCCACCATGGGATAAAAGAATGAAACTGACATTTCCAGTTCCAGAGTGATTCTGGAATAAATTCCCCTTAAGATCATCTGCTGTTTCTCATACAAGGTCAAGCTAACATTTATCAGCTTCCTTCCCCAGAGTAAGTAGTTCTGGGGGTAACAGTGAATTGTGCATTGAGCTGCTAACTACAAGGTCAGCAGTTTGAACCCGTCAGCCACTCTTTGAAAGAAAGATGAGCCTTCTGTTCTCAGAAAGACTTACAACCTTAGAAGCCCGCAGGGGCAGGTATATTCTGTCCTGTAGGGTCGCTCTGAGTTGGAAGCAACTCAACGACAGGTTCTCCCCAGAGTAATGACACATCATTGCTAGAATGGTCCTTTTATGTTATGCTTAGAAGAAAATTTCTTTTTCTTTTTTTTTTTAAAGAAAATTTCTTCTGCAATTGTCCTACTATGAATTCAGAAGGAACTTCAGAAAGTTCATGTGAAAATCCCATTAACTTTTCATCCCATTTTCCCACAAACTTTTGAATGCACCATTCTTGATATGCACTATTTCAATGGTGATGTTTTATTATAATGAAAATATGTTCTGTTAGATGACCCTCATTTTAGATTTTCTTCAAATAAATAGAAATCCAGTCAAATTAATTTAACATTTTTCTAATATTTTCCACAGTAACTACTTAGTAACTACTATATTTCTTATTCCTTTCATGTAAGCTATCTATAATTAACATAATAAATGAGTAATACCATACAAAATGCTATTATGACTAGTATGGGAATAAATTGATAGGTATGAAAATTGCCTAATATATCAATACCTAATTTTTATCATTTATATTCACTAGTCCTGAAAAATTTGAGAGGCAACCAAGTGCTCCTCAGTTTTAATCTTTAAGTGATGTTTAGGAATTTCCCACACACGAGCTGTAAAAACTTCATGGAAAAGTGGAAATAAAGATCATTTTTCCCCATGAACTTTTTAATACCCTTTATGTATAATTTATTGAATACCTCTTGCTCTCTAGGTATGGACCATATTTTACAGTATTGGTTTTGATTAGATTTTCTGGTTTTGCTTATATTATTTTTTAACAAACTTTACAGGTACATAATAATTTTTTTTCTTACATGATTTTGTCCAATTTTTCAGTGGAGCCCTAGTGGCACAGTGGTTCCATGTGGGGCTGGGATCTCTACAGTCAGCTCTTGGAAACCACTAGCTGCTCCACCCGAGGGAGATGGGGCTGCCTGTTCCCACAGGCAGATACAGTCTTGCAAGCCCACAGGTGCACTTCTGCCCCGTCCTACAGGGTCACTATGAGTTGGCATCAACTCAGTGGCAGTCAGTTTCGTTTGGGGCCTGAGGAAACGTATATAAAACTGAAATGTTACAAAATAAATTTAGATTGTACTTTAAAAATATTTTGAAGGTTTCAACATGAAACTCTGCAGTTGTTAAGTCTTGCAAATACTGCAATAAAATTTTGGACAGTCTGGGTTGTTTGCAACAAAATATTCTTCCTTTAAAATTTGTAAGGCTGAGATAATAATATTTGTGATATGACATTTGCCAAAGTTGTTTAACTGCATTGCTCACAACCCCCAACCAATTTCTTTGCTTTATAGAGCTAAACGTTGGCCATCTGATAAGTATGTTTAGATAACAAAGCAAAATTCAACATTTTCAAAGTTAAGGAAAGCCAAAGTTAAGCCAAAAATCAATCTATGAAAACGTTCTTGGGTAATTAATTTTTTTTAAACCTGCCATTTCTGAGACATTTTAATAATAATATGCTTTTCAAGCTAATAATTTATGATATTTAAGAATGACTACATATCTATCAAGTTACAAAATTCTGGAAAACTAATTTGAAAGAATATCAATTATTTAAACATTAAGAAATTCAGGCTGATTTCTCAATAAAAATCATTTATCTCTGAAAATAATGGGAAAGGATAGCAATCAGTAATTGACTAAATGTTACTTCAGTTCATATAATTTGTAAGACAACTTAATATTGAGAAGGCTTTTATAAATTACATTAGCATCTAAACCAGCATTACTTTACCTTTTTCTCAAAATAGGGTCTTAAATTATATAAATTCTATATGCCATTATAAACACATATTACATACACATGTATACAATGATTACTTCACATTTGATACTAATGCATGATTTTCCAACTATTACACACATTTGAAAACAAAACTCAGTGCTACCGAGTCAATGCTGACTCATGGAAACCCTATAGAGCGGGGTAGAACTGCCCCTCTGTGCTTCTAGACTAACTCCTTTCAGGTGTAGAAGGCGCCATCTTCCATCTTCCTCCTGCAGCACACAAAACAGTTGGTGCTTTCTAACTACTGACCTTGGAGTTCGCAGCCCAGCACCCAGCCACCCCACCACCAAGCTTCTCTACATCCTAAGGAGGGACTCCAAAAAGTTCATGACAAAATTGCATTCTCATTTAGGTCCATTTTTACACCAGCTTTTTGAAGCCCCTTTATATGAAAATTCACTTAGACTCCAGCTATTTAAAAACATTTCCTGAGGAATCTAATTATTTTTGCAAGAAAAATGCCGTTAATCTTCCCCAGTTTTAAAAAGGAGGAACAAACAGCATTCTTTGACATCTGTACCTAAAGATAAAACTTTAAAAATGTATATTTAAATGCTCTCAATATCCTTCAAGCATTTTTATTAAATTTTATAGATGTACCAGTGACTATAATGCTATAACTCATTTTTCCTTCTCATGATAAAATGCAACCTGTTCAACTGTTGTTCTATAAATGGATGTGTCTAAATACACTTCAGTAAGCCCACAAACCTCGTTCTGTAGGTTTATTTTCAAAACTTGTCTTGATAGGAACTATGAGTACCGTCTACTTAGGGTGTCTCCTCATTTACCTTGCTGCAGATTGTTGTCAGCACGGAGGAATCATGATAAGATATGTGTTTATTCAATGAAATAGCAACCATAATTATTCAAAAGAACCACGTACGCATTGATAGGGTATGACATTTAGGATACACAAGAGAAGGAAAAAGATGGACAGCATTGAACATGGAGGATGCTTCCATTTGTGTAAAATAACCGACCAAAAAGAGCGGGGCAAGTGCCAGTCTGCATGTATGCTTATGCAAGTGTTGGACTGCTAGCTGGAAGGTCGGGGCTTCAAGCCCACCAGGTTGTGAGTCCGCGGAGGCCATCTGCTCCGGTGAACATTTGCAGCCTGGGAAACCCCGCACTGATAGGGCTGTGATGAGTCACGATCAACCCAATGGCACTGGGTAAAATTTGTGCACTGTTTTCTAGTAATATACTGGGAAAAACTTTTAAAGGGCATTGGCTCTAAGAATGTGGGTGATAAAAATTCATTTTGTGGTATCATAATCACTCTGTTGGTTAGTAAATTAATCTGTTAAATCATATTTTTTGTCAGTAATGCCCACACGTAGATTATGTATGAACAGGGCACGAGGATTTTGTGGTTGGCATAAAACCATGTACTGTGTCTATTATTTGCATAAAAATACAGCAGGTCAGTTACTCTTACGCCTGATTGCACATTAAATCTGCTCGGTCTTACCTTCTGAAGATTCTGATTAATCAATGTAAGGTATGAATACCATAGTTTCAAATAATAAGGATAACAAAGTGTAATAAGGATGGATTCGGCTGTGCTGACTTTTATAGCTAAAATAAAATTTCGTGTTCTTTGGATTTTCATTTAGGAAGACTACTGGCTTGGGCATAGATATCAATTAATTGAGAGAAATAGTCTTAAATATTTCATTTAAAGTTGGAGTGTACATAATCTGTTTCTACGCTGAATGAGATCTAAAATGACAGTTTATTATTTTTAGAATTGTATGTCTAAAATAATCTGTTAATATGATTATCCACTGTTGAAAAGTAATTCATTCTTAAATCAGAATTTAAGAGTCCAGTTAATTATTTCAAGAATTCCTCCCTTGATGGGATGAATGAGACAAATTAATATTTAGTATTGTATCCACATTTCTTTGTAGCTGGAATCAGCTCTGATTATAGTCTTGAAGAGATCGATGAAAAGGAAGAACTGAGTGAAGCGCCTAAAGGCGAGGCTGGAGATACTTCTCGGAAGTCAAAAGATAGTCCTTTTGCATCTGCTGATGTAACCAATGCTGTGAAACATGATCCCGACTCGGCCCTTGGCGGTGATGCTGCAGAGACCTCTCAAAACTCCAAGGAAGAACAACAAGAAGCTAACGACCCAGATGGACAGTAAGTAGTCTCTGTGCACCGGAAGTGTTAGTTGCTTTAACTAATCCTAGTCTTCTGAAATAGAGATGTTATATGTTTAACAAAGAGGACCAGCACATTGGTTTTAGAGTCACTCCAGCACTTTTACTATCATAAAAATCTGCATGAATAGTCATTTGTGATTTAGTATGTAAGCACGGAGCTGTAGGTAAAGAGAATGAGTTTCAGTAGTTCTATTTCCCTCTGTGTTATGTAAACCAAGCATGTCATTAAACCATATGACTCAAACATTTGGCTTCGTTTGCATTTTGTTTATTGCCTGGTATCTAGTTGACGTAAATTAAATGCATTTACTTCTCAACTTTCACCACATAAAATCCTCCAGGATTCTCAATGTCTGGTAAATAAGCACAATTCTACTTACTGGAATAGGCTGTGAACGAGCCAGTATCATTCTGATGTAGAGACTAGTTGCCCCCACGTACTCAATGCATCATCTAAGGGGAAAGTGAGAGAGAGGCATGTGGACACTATTGCTCATAGAAACTGGAGACTAGAAGATAGTCTGCTTATATTGAGTTTCAGATGCCACACAAAGAATAAAAATAAAATCAGTGAAACAAAATAAACCACCTTTATCAAACGTGTGCACTGATTTGCATGGCATCACCTCCAATAAACTACTCTCTCCTCAGGAAAGGCATCAGTGAGGTCAGGGGCACCCTGTGACCACACTTGAGCCTGCCAGATCCAATCTAAAGGGCATCATTTAGTTTCCTCTAAAAATAAGTCGAATACCTAATAGTTACCAAAGAAAACGTGTCCATTTTGCCGAGCTTTTTAGCTCTTCCTTTGTAAGAGGACTGTCGTATGATAGCTAAGGTTTTCAAAGCAATATATCCTCGCAGTTGCATTTTTTCCCCTTTGCTAGTATAAATTTCTAGTAATTGGCTGAAATGGAAGACTACTCTCTATCTGTCTTTGGAAATTATTGCCTGTTCTCCCATCGTGTGTGTGTGTGTGTGTGTGTGTGTGTGTGTGTGTGTGTGTGTGTGTGTGAATGATATCAGTAGATAATATATACTGCCCTGTCTTACAGAGAACCACACGTTGTGCTTAATACAAGCCATGCAGAGACAGCACTTGACAGTGTACAACCCCTGAAGCCATTGGGCTCAAACCAACAGAATGGTAAGTTACATGAACAATGAGCAGCAACACCTTTATAGTAACTATTTTTTTACTATTCTTCACAATTTATATATATAAACTCATTTAATTTTAATATTGACTCATTTCTTACCTGTCTCATTTATGATATATCTATCATTTATTCTAGCATTTTACAGATGATTGAGCCTTTAAAAAAAATGACCAAATCCTGCCACCCGTCAAGTGGTGGATCTAAGATTTGCACTCAAGCAATATTCCTCCAGTCTGCTCTTAACAGCCGTGTGTATTACTTATTTTACACGCCGCCCCCCCTCCCCCCGCCAAAAAACAAAACTCAGGATTTATTTGTGACCTCTTCTCTTTCTACCAACTCTACCAAAAACAAACCCCTGCCATCAAGTCAGTCAGATTCTGCAGGACAGAGTAGAGCTGCTGCATTTGGACGTTTCCAAGGCTGTAAATCTTTATGGGAGACGAAAGCTTCTTTTTTTTTTTGCCATGAAGCAGCTGGTGAGTTTGAACTGCTGACATTGAGGAGGCAGCAGACCAACATGTAACTCACTAAGCCACCAGTTCACCTTCAATTTGTCTGTGTGATTTTCTTTTCTTGTTTTAGCATTTTATTGGGGGCTCAGACAGCTCTTATCACAATTTATTCATACATCCATTGTGTCAATCTCATTTGCATATATGTTGCCATCATCATTTTCAAAACATTTTCTTTCTACTTCACCTGTTGGTATCAGCCCCCTTTTTTTTTCCATCCCTCTCCCTCCCTTCCCCATGAATCCTTGATAATTCATAATTTATTATTTTTTCATGTCTTAAACTGACCTATGATGTCTCCTTTCACCCACTTTTCTGTTGTCCGTCCCACTGGGAGGGGGATATATGTAGATCATTGTGATCAGTTCCCCCTTTCTCCCCCCACCTTTGACTTACCCTCCTGGTATCGCTACTCTCATTATTGGTTCTGAGGGATTAATCTGTCCTGGACTCTCTGTTTCCAGCTCTTATCTGTACCAGTGTACATTCTCTGGTCTAGCCAGATGTCTGTGTGATTTTCAAGGAATAACCCATCTAATGAAGTCACTTTATTTCCAAAACCATCCCCAATTCAAGGTAATACCTATCCTTGCTCATGATACTGCTTGCTCGGTTTTTTTAATTTAAATCATTTCATTGAGGGGCTTGTATAGCTCTTATCACAATCCATACATACATACATTGTGTCAAGCACATTTGTACATATGTTGCCATCATCATTTTCAGGACATATTCTTTCTACCTGAGCCCTTGGCTTGCTCACTTCTGTCACGAGACCCGTGCTCATGTTTTCTTGGCATGGAAAACCTTTGCTGCCTATCCTTGCCCATGGACTCCTTGTCATGCCTTACCACTTCATTGGCTTTGCTGTTTAGTTACTAGGGTCCATGTACTTCTATATGTACTTGAATCCTCAACTAAATCCAAGAGTCTTGGATCAGAGAAATTAGATCTGATTTTGTGTTTAAATCCCATAGAGCATTTAGTAAAATACTGAGTATACAATGATAACTTTATAAAATAGGTACTATAGAATTGAATTTCTAAAAAAAAATTTTTTTAAAGACACTAAATCAATAGAAGATGAAATGTAATGCACAATGACTCCTGAAGCCTCAGGGGACAGCCTGTTATACTAATGGACAAATGTAGGTTAAAATTCTTAGAAATAGAAAACATGATAAAAACACACATGCATAAGACATGAACAATCTCAGTGTTAAAAACCCATGTGTCATTTCATGTGTGTAATATGTATATCAGTTAACTTAAGTATGTAATCCTTTACTCATTTTCCTCCATAATTAATCCCATACTGACACACCTTATTAAGGCCCAAAGTATCTACTCTCCCTATTTCCCTTTTGATTCAGTTTCTCATAGCATAAACTATGATGACAGTGGCATTCCTGTTGAGAAATCTTGACTTAAAGCTGTCCGATCTTTTTAAAATCATAGTCAAATTCTTTGTGCTAAGATTTTGATATCAGTTTACTGCTAGAGTGACAAGTATATTTACATAATAATTAATTTGTACTTGATTTGCAAAGACCTTTGTCCCTATTGGTGATTTTAAAAACCAGTAGTATCTGTTATCTGCATCTATAATTTCTGAAGTATTTTCCCATTTTCCCACAGTCGTATGACTCAGAATCAACCTCATGACAGAGGGATGTGCATATTTAAATCATTATCTCATGATGTAGTTGTCCATGTCAATTTTGAGTAGGGGAAGGATGAGAGGACAAAAGCCTCCCTCTACTGGCCGTCTGTACAATTCCCTCCTCTGATCTTGAATTTTGATTACTTACAGTTCTTGGATCACACAGGCTGGTGTCCTCCTTTGTTGTAGACTTAGGCAGCGCATTATTGAGATGGTGATTGGTTGTAAGACAAGCCTTTAAAGCCCAGATGCTATTCTTAGAAATCCAATTTTAAAACCAGTACATTGGGGTTATTATAGGGATGAAATTAAAAATATGTTTATCTACTTTTTTTTAAAAAATGGTTCTATTGTGTAAACTAGGAGATCCCTATCCCACCCAAAACCAGACCCATTGCCATGAGGAGATAAAGAAGTAAAAAAATAAGTAAAATGAAAAATAAAGGAGAGAAAGAAGTATGTTTAGGCTTATTTCCTGATGATGCCCAGCACCATTTCTTTTGTTCTTTCATTACATATATATAATGACATCTTTTTCATATAGATATTAAAAACGAGTTGTGAACTGAGAATACACGGGGGCTTCTAAAAAGTTCATTTGAAAGTGGAATGAAAAGATCATAGATTAAAAGAGAAAAAAAAGAATCATAGATGTGTTTTCCCCCATAAACTCTTTAAAGACTCCCTCAGACATCAGGAAAGGCAGAAACGTGCCTCTTCCGTAGTTGCTAATTAAATGAGTCCTTAATTTTCTAAATCACAATAGTTGATATTATTAGACAATGAGAAAATTTCGTCATAAAGATAATACATCGTCTGATGATATGGTCTACTTTGAACTGTTTTGATGATTTTTTTATGATACTTTGGATGAAAGTTCACACCGGAAATCAGTTTCTCTTCTAGCAAATTCTGTACCTATTCAGTGTCACTGGTTACGTTTTCACGATGTGGGCGCATTCTCACCATTTTTATTCTGGTGGTTCTGTTTTCATTAAGTTTGCTCCCTTGTCTCCTCCCCCACCCCACCTCTTTTCATCACCTCCTTGGTTTAAGATCAATATTGCTTGAACCTGTGTGTTCTCCTCTAGACGATCCTTCCAAGGGAACACAGTACTCACAGGTGATATTGTTTAGTGTGTGAGCCACTTCAGGATTTGACTGAAAGGTGACCACTGAGGGGCGTTATTCGGTTCCCAATGTGAAGAGGACCTCAGCGTAATCCTCTAGTGGAAGGGCATCCTCTATGTTGATCCAGTATGTCTGGCTTCTTTTTTTTCTCTTGGCATAGGGCTTGTTCTGCAGGATCAAGGAGGCTATGGTTTGTGTGAGTTTTTAGTCCTGTAAACTACAGGGTTTTTTCTTTGAGCCTTTGGCTGCCTTCTTTCATTTTGCACTAGAAAAATACAGACCAGTAGTTGTTATGCCTATTCTATTTTAAAAGTATAAAAAGCGTATTACATTTTAAATTATATGTTTGCTTTAAGAACCTTACAACATAATATAATGTTAACTACCATAGGTTAATTGTAGGGTTAGCAGTTCAAACCCACCAGCTGCTTCATGGGAGAAAGATAAGACTTTCCCATCTTTTTATAAGCATTTATAGTCTCTAAAACCCTAAGGAACAGTTCTTTGTCCTCTAGGTCACTGAGTTGTGATCATAGTGTCTGTGTGGTTTTGGAACCACAATCAAATAATTGGTAATTCGATAGGATATAAAAATGTGAAGACATTGTAAAACGTTTTTCATAAGTTTACCTGGCAGCATGATTTTTTTTTCCTCCTGAATGGGTCTTTATTTAAACCTAGAAACTACTTTAAGTTACATAATCTAGGCAATAAATGTGATCTCCTCTTCTTACTGGTAAAAGTAGGCAATGATAAAACTATAGAAAATATCTGATATCCTTTCTTGTTGACTCTCAAGACACGTGACATTCACTTAAGAGATACAACTGCCATTTCTGAACAGGGAGAGGCACTAAGGGTGTGAACGTTGGGGGCTGAGGGTCCTGCTTAAGAGGTGCGTCTTCTGTGCCTGTGACCCAGAATCACAGCACTGAGAGCACGCAGCTCAGCACGGAGACACAGTGCACACGGAGCACCTTGTCTCCTTCCAGGTGCCTCACTCCAGTCTTAGCCGTCATGCTATTGACTGTCAGCTGTTGCTTTGGTAGCTTAGAGACAGGCCAATTATTCCCTGTATCTGGATGACTGAATTAGAACCAAGAGGGAAGGCAATGCAGGGAGAGGGAGATTGCTTCCTCCACTGGAGCTCTGACTATTGAAGAATAAGAAAGTTTTCCCACAGAGAAAAATCAAAAGCAACATGATTGTTCTTAACGGCGTTGAAATCACCCGTGTGAGGACCATGAAGAAAGTCTTCTCAAAGTCCTCAGCAGGGACACCTACTTAGCAAGAGCTCAACTTAGACTCTGCTTTTCTTTGAAATCTTAAAGGCCATACTGTCTGTTGTCTGCTGTAACTGCAACAGACATTTCTTGGCATTGCTTCTCTTTTAATGTAAAGTATGAAGCATCAGCACAATGGGGTTATAGAAAGGACAGTCAAAACGGAAAGTATAAGAGAGCAAAAAATCTACAGTTGGAATGTCTTGCTGTTGTGAACACAGATGGAAATAGGCAATCTTTACTTAAAAGTCAAATAGCTACCTTCAGTAGAGTGTCTGTCCTGGGCGATATCCCATCCTGTTAACGGGGTTACAGCATGCTATAAAATAGAGTAGCATTCTAGACCATCCTTTCACCCAGACGGCTTACCTGACACCGGTCGCTTAGATTCTATTGCCATTGCTTGCCTTTGTATAATTAGTGAACAGAGCATTACCTCTGGCATTTAAACCAAGGTTTGGGGGCGGCATACATTGAAGGTTTTCTTATATATTTAACTTTGGGATATATTTTTCTCTTAATAGATCAAAATGAAGTAATTCCCTTTCCATTGAAAACAGAAGATAATAAGGAAAATGGAGTGAGGAGGACAGAAATGAATGTAGCATATGTTGCCAAAACTAGCAACACAGATGTAAAAGCTGACCGATTATCCAACCATCAGGGTTGCAAAAGGGATGCTGCTGCCAGTTACACGGAAGATCACCTCGCAATTTCATCACTGCCAGATCAAAAGCTGAATCAACTCGCTGTCGAAAAGATTAAGATGCAAGATGCAGCAATTCAGACCACCCCTTCCTGTAACAGTTTTGATGCGAATCACCAGGATCCTGAGTCGTCTGACTTCAGAGTTGATGAAAGCGTGCAAACCTCAAATAATAGCAAATCAGCTCAACACTCACCCGCAGATCCACGAAATTCTGTCGGTACTTCAAGAGAATTCCAGAGTCAGGGCACCCTAATTGAACAAGAAGACCAGCCAATCATAAAAGATCCATATTGCATACCCATTAATGATGCTCTTGTGACTCCTGGGGTTGATAAAAATGCAAATGCTTCTGATCTAAAGAATTATCCGTTTTATAGACCTAAGCCAAAACCCTCGAATGAAATTACAAGATGTTATACGCCTAAAATTGGGATGACGACTTATAAAATCGTGCCTCCCAAATCCCTGGAGATAGTAAAAGACTGGCCGTCAGAAACCATCGAGTATAAAGATGGTCAGGACACGCATCCTTTAGGAAAAAGGCACACATCCGAGAATGTGAAGGAAACTGCGATCCAAACAGAAGATCCTGGTGTCTCTGAAGGCCCAGAGAAACCACAGCCAGACCCCAAACCAAAGCCTAACCTGGGCACAGAGCCCCAGGTGCAGAGGGCCAGGAGCACGGCCGCCGGGGCAGCCACTGACCATCTGAAACCAGTCCCCCGGGTGATGAGAGACACGGTCGCAGCTCCGTTTGCACCGAGCTTGGAAGATATAAACAGTGTTCTGGAGGCCCAGCTTAAGTCTAGGCTTTCAAACCCTCAGGGCAAACCGAGCTCCTTTTTCCTGCAAATGCAGAAACGGGTAGCCGGTCAGTATGTGACCTCTGCAGCTGCCAAGAGTGCCCACGCTGCCCCTCATCCAGCCCCAAAGGAAGCCACAAATAAAGAGGTGGAAAGGAGTCCGCCGCTTTCTCCAGAAGCAGATCCCCCTCGATTAAGGAAGACAGCCCACCTTCCCCCACAGCCCCTCCTGCACAAGTCCGGCGATGCCATCAGCAGTCCGAAGCCTGCTGAACCCTCGCCTCCCGCGGTCGCTCCGAAGCCTGTGCTTCTCCCGGCTAGCCAGGCAGCAGCCCAGAATTTGAAGACTTTGAAAACGTTTGGTTCGCCCCGACCATTCTCGAGTTCTGCTCCTTCCCCGTTTGCCCTCGCCGTGGTCAAGCGGTCGCAGTCGTTCAGTAAAACCCGTTCGGTCCCCAAGGAGTCCGCCGGGCCTCCAGACAGCCCTCGGGACGCGCAGGCCGGGCCCGTGGGTCCGAGTGTGGACATCCCGCAGCGTGGTGTGATTGACAAGGTAAGCCCGACTGTTCAAAATGACAACACGTTTGAAGGGTTAGCGGGAATATTGATAGGTGTGTGTAAAGATGTTTACATTCTGATTCCTCTGATCCCGAGCGACTGTCGGGAGACAAAGAAGAGCAGGCCGCAGAATCTGTTGTTTACTCTGAGACCCACAATCTTGGCCCTGGATGGCATCGCGACACTGAAGTCGTCGATATGCGGGCTGCCTGGGTGGCGCAGATGCGCAGGTGCTCAGCTGTTCAGCGGAACATTGTTGGTTTAAGGCCACCCTGAGACGCCTTGGAAGGAAGTCCTGACAACTGACTTCCACCATCAGGAGCCTTTGAAAACCCTGTGGAGAAAAAGGGCGCTCTGTCGGGCCCACACTCAGATTTGCCACCTCAGCTGCAGCAGAGCCAGTTTGGGTTTTGTTTGACCCATGCCCGTCATGATACCTTTGTATCATAGCATACTTTTTTTAAAATTAAACAATCATTTTATTGGGGGCTCTTACAGCTCTTAGAACAATCCATACCTCAATTGTATCAAGCATATTTGGACATAGGTTGCCATCATTATTTTCTAAACATTTACTTCCTATTGAGCCCTTAGTATCAGCTCCTTTTTCCTCCCTCCCCCACCACCCTTGTGACCCCTTGATAAATTATAAATTATCATTATTTTCACATCTTACACCAACCGCTGTCTCCTCTCCCCCGTGGTTTCTGTTGTTCATCCCCGGGGATGGGGGTTATGTGTCGAATGTTGCAATCAGTTCCTTCTTCCTCCCCTCTTCTCCCCACCTTCCCCCTCCCCACCTGGTCTCACTACTCCCATTCCTGTTCCTGGATTCCGTGTGTCATGAGCTCTTATCTCTGATCTGTACCTGTGCACATGCTCCTGATCTAGCCCACAGTGATAGGCTGGACTAGGGTCATGATAGTGGGGGGTGAGGAAGCCTGAAGGGAAGAGGAAAATTGTGTCTCACTGGTGCTATACTGCACCCTGACTCATCAGCTCCTTGTGACCCTTTTGTGAGGGCCTGTCACATTGTCTGCAGATGGGTTTTGGGTCTCTGCTCTGACCCCTCATTCTCAACAATATGGGGGTTTTGTTTGTTTGCTTTGGTTCTTCTGATGCCTGTTATCCCATCCCATCGATACCTCATGATCACACAGGCCGGTGTGCTTCCTCCATGTGGCTTGTTGCTTCTCTGCTAGATGGCAGCTTGTTTAACTTCAAGCATTTAAGACCCGAGACACTATATCTTTTAATAGCTGGGCACCATCTGCTTTGTTCACCACATTTGCTTATGTAACCATTTTGTCCTCAGCAATCGTGCCAGGAGGGTGAGCATCACAGAATGCCAGGTTGTTAAAACAACCTGGGCTTGAGCAGAGGCCCAAAGTCCACCCACTACCTCAGTGAATTGCTATATAAATATATGTACATAGGCCAATACCTCTATTTTTATGAATTAATGTATTTACGTATGTACACATCTGTGCTTATACGTCTATCCATACCTTTGCTTCCAAGATCTTTCCTCTGTTTCCTTTTACTTTCCTCCCGCCCCACCATCATCATAGCATACATTTTAATTTAAAGTTTCTTTGGTCACATGTTGGTACAATATACTTGATAGTTCTAATATACTTAACAGTTCTGGCTCCCCCCACCCCCACTCATGTTTTCCTTATCACCGCTTTTTTTTTGCTTTGCTGGATCTTTTGATTTTCTTTTCCAACTCAGTCATGACTACATAGTAGCAAAATAAATGCCTTTAATTAAAGGAGACATAGCATCAATGATCGGATAAAAATAACTAGCCACTTCTCCACTATGCATTTCCCTTCATACATGAAACGTTAACTCTCCAGACACTCATTTTTGTTTGAAAAAATTTAAATTGAAAACAGACGTTTCAAAAGAAAGTTAAACAAAATGTAATCTTTTTATTCCCCTGAATTGTTAATCTCATGACAATATCTACAGCTATATAGCCGTTGACAGTTCTTGGGTGTTGGTAAGTGTATATATGCTCACATACTAATCTAAAAGTTGAAGGTTCGGGCGTGCCCAGGAGTGCCTTGGAAGAAAGACTTGGAGACCTAGTTCTGAAAAACCAGCTGTTCAAAACCATAAGGAACACAGTTCACCTTTGACACACAGGAGATCGCCAACTCAACTGCTGCTGTTTTTTGGGGGTTTTGAAATCCAAATTAATATACTAATATGAGAGGTTGTTTACTTAGGGATTGCTCAACTGGGTGTTGTAATTAGATCAGTTCCGATAGTATCATAAAAGGAGAAGATGGAATTCACAGCATAAATCATAATAATCATATGCAGCTTTTTGAAACACTTAGTGGACTTTCACTCTGATAATGTTTGGAGAAACTTTTCATATTTGTGTCAGTCCCAGAAATATTTTATATAACTTTTAAAGAACATTCTTAGAATAACAGAATACCAGCCATATTGCCAAGTAAAAATTTTTTCCATGAATTCCAAGTAACATCATCAAAAAAAATTTTTTTTTAATATTTTATGCTTATTATGCTGATAGGATGTCAGGAAGATGTGTATGATATAGTGATTAATTCTTTACTTGGGAACAAAGTCTGCATTTTATCTTGGACTGGAATACCATTCCTAAACAATGGAAACTTAATTTAGATAACATTTTTTTTCAATATTGACTGGACTTTGTTTAGCTCATCTTTTATAAAGATATTTATATGGCGGTTTGAAAAAGAAAAAGAAAAAAAGTTGAATCATTTGATAACTTTGCCAGTTAAATCAGTTAATAAGTACTTCTTAAGTTTACCACATTTGGTTCCTCATTATTAACTTCTCTCTCCCTCTCTCCTTTTTTAATTGCACCTAATCTCATGGGAAAAGTAAAGAAAACAGGATAGTACTTAGGTCCTGTCACTTCCAGACAAACTATAAGCTATTCTGTATAGCATTCAATTTTTCTTTTACAAGAAAATATATTAGATTCAACTAATATTAAATTGACAATTGTGGTCACTTTGTACCTTCACAATAGTAATTTTATAAGCGAATATACTGGAACCATGGAAATGGGTTATTTATAATTGTGGGAGTTGTTGTTAAATTAGCTGTTTTAATCACATCCAAATAGAGGGGAAAAGTCAGCATTATTTAACTCAAACTCAGCACAATTCCCACTGCGTTCCTGAAACCAAATACAACTAGCATTCTTCTCCCATAGGAGCCCACAGGAATGTCCCCTCCCTCCAATCTCACTCTGTCGACAGACGATTCAGTGAGGAGAAGGAAGTGGCTGTCGCTAAGCAGTGTGCAGATACGGAGTGAGGCGTGTGCCATGGGCACGGAGGGCATGATGCCATCCTCTTATTTTCTTAGGGGGGGGTCTCCCTGCTCAAGCTTGATCAGCTCTGCCGGGGTCCTTAGTGCTAAGATCACTCATTTCCTGCGTCCCCTGATCTTGATGTTGCTTCTCCAGTTAGGCCTATCCCTATGAGAACACAAATTTGACTGGTCTTCCGGCAATTTTGCTCTCATCCCAATACCCACCCACTGAATAGGATTTAGTATTTTGTCACATGCACCAGACTATAAGATCTATATGGGAAAGAATCTTTCCTCTTGCTCAGGGTTATATCCTTTATGCCTCAGAGAGCCTGGATGTTTCTAGGACCCAACTGGTATTCAATAATTTGGAATATGTGGTGGAGAGAGAACTCTTCAGGAAGCTATGCTGATTTCTAACCATCACAAGTAATAAAGGGAGACATAGAAGAGGTTACTTGCATACCAGCCCCCCAAAATTAACCAAAACAAAACACCCTCCCAGAAGCATCTTCCCCATCCATAATACAACCTCTTTCAGGCTTCCAGGTCTGGACCACTCTCTTCTCCACCCACCTGTAACTCTTTTCTTCTCCTTGTGCAAGCAGTGCAGGGTCTCGGGTTCTCTAGTTCTGCATCCTCATCCTCTCTGCCACTGGTGCTCATCAGCTGACGTCCCCTTGGAAAGCAGTAATGGAAGTCACACTTCCCTTCCTGTGATTTGTTGATGTTTTCTGGTACACATTCTGGTGCTCTTTGGAAGATTAGAAGAAGGCTGCATGCTGAATTTACCTGTGTGGATTCATACTAGAAATTGTGTACAAGGGGTTTATTTGGGGACCTGCTATGTCTGAGGACAAAGGCAGTTGAAAGAATGATACATCATAATTGTAATTCCTAATCTCCCTTTAAACAAAAATGGGGGAAATATTGGTTCTATAAAAAATAGCTTTTAAAATTTAGATTTAATATTTTTCACACATCAAAAGAATGTTTTCGGTTTGGATTGCAAGCCATTTCTGAAACACGAGTACATAAATGGTGATTCTGAAGATGATGATCCTCCCCCCTCCCCGCCCTCTTAAATAGCCTGCTCTTCTCTTGGTGGGCATCTAAATATTTTGCATTTATTTTCATAGGAAAATAATTCTGTATATAATGAACGGAATTCCCAACTTCCATCTCCAACTGACTGCCCGTCACTCACCCTTACGAGACAAAGTTCGGTAACATTCCACAGCTCTGATCCAGAACAGATTCGACAGAGTTTGCTGAGTGCAATCCGTTCTGGAGAGGCTGCTGCTCACTTGAAAAGGGTAAGCTATCTGTAGCAGGTGGGCGGCAGTGGGTTTATTTGCAACAATATCAAGCTAATCGTTAAAGGGGAAATTTTTTCTTTTCCCAACTTTTGAATCTGAATAGGAACTATACTTGAAATTACTCTTTTGTGTGAGGGTCTTACTGAAGTGTCAGCTACAAAAGTTAACAGGTCTTACACACTTAAAAAGATGCCAAGTCTGTTTCCCAAAACATAGGCCAGGTGCAAAGCATGTATGATGTAATTATATATGCAAAGTGTGCTGGACTTCTAAGAAAGTAAATGAACTTAGAAAAATTCTTTAAAAGGAAAATACATCCCTCTTCCCCCCAACATGTACTAAAGATAAGAACAAACCCATAAGTTTTGGCCTTAGCTCCTGTAGCGATCTAAAAACCAAACACTTGCTCATGAGTCAGTGCCAGCAAATAGCAACCCTGTAGGGCAGAGTAGAACAGTCCCCTGCTGCCCCTTCCCCCCAGTAAGATGCCCAAGGCCCCAGGCTTTACTGAAAGAGACCACCAGGCCTTTCCCCAGAGCAGCTCATGGCTTCAAACCACTAACTAACCTTTCAGTGAGCAGCCAAGTGCTTAATCACTGCCCCACCAGGGCTGGTTTTAGTAAGAAACTTACTACTGTGGATGGATTTTTAGAGGGAAAATCCATGTTTCACAAAGCAAATAAACAATCGGGGAAAATCTGGAAAACTTCGGTATGACTTCGTGCAGTTCAAATCTTGATAATGCCCCTCCACGTCCTCTAGTTGCACACTGCAAATGTAGCGGAGACCATCAGAGAGGGGAGCTATTTCTCCTAAGGGCCAATGCCAAAGGCAACCCTTGTTGCAGAGAAATATTTGTAGGTGAGTTTCCTATTCCATCCCCTGCATCCTCTGAAGGAGGACGTACGTGGTGAAACCCTGCACCTGGCATCAGCATGTAGACTTCCTGGGGGCTGTAGGCTCCCCTGGGGGAGCCCTAGTGATGCTGTGGTTATGTGTTGGGTGGCTAACTGCAAGGTGAGCAGGTCAGAATGGCCAGTCACTCCGAAGGAGAAAGCCGGGGCTCTCAGAAACTCATGGGGGCATTTCTGCGCTTTCGAGTTGCTGTGAGTCAGCATCGCTTCAATGGCAGGGAGCTTGGTTTGGGGTTTTTGGAGTCTCTCCTGAAAGTCTTCCACCATCACTGCTTCCGAGTTCCTCATTCCACATGCTTGGGTCAAGTGCGTCAACAACCAGAAGGAAAGCAGTCGCTGTCGCACTGACTCCTGAGACTGTCCACGGTATGATTCTCTCCTCTCCGCATATTAGAAGCTATTTAGAGAAGAGTGAGTGATTTATTAAGCCAAAAACATTGAGCTTGACAGAAAAAAAGAACCTGTGTGCAACAGAAATTGAGTCTGTAAAGGAACGTGGAGGCTGCAAAGATAGATTGGAAAACAAGGGGCACCCTGAGCCCACACTGGCTGGGTTTGATGGCTCTAACTAGGCTCCTGTTACAATTAGTGGAATGATGCTTGAAGGCCAGGTTCCTCAGGATTTTGAGCTCCCATCTGGGACCCAAAGACGAATAAAGTGAAGCTTCTGCCTTCTGGCCATTCACCACCTAAGCTAGAGAAATAGTGCTCTTTCAGCTCCACAGGAGAGTCCGTAACAACACAGAGACTGATGAGGATCCCTCGGTGCTCCCTCGGCTACATACGCCTCACTGTCAGTGAGGTCATCGCGGACACCTGTGCATCACATTGGAAATGCCTCTTAAGCAAACAGAAATGTACAGGGAAGCAGCCACACGTCTGCAATGCTATAGGCAGTCATTTCATTTGTAAAATTCCCAGTCCTTCCAGAATGAGCTGGGTGAGAGTCAACATCGAAAGGAAGCCTTAAATGATGAGCCTAAAATTATATCCTGTATATTCCTCGGTACTTTTAGTTCCACTGAGTCTAAAATTTTCTCTCCTTCAGTAGGACAGTACTGCTAGCTTATGAGTCTAAATACTGCCAGTTCCTAATTTTTTTAGTGAAATTCTGTAGTTCATTTTATTTCATTAAAAATGGACATGGAATCTCTTAACCCTATAATGCCTGAATTGTTAATTTCAGGGGGAAAATTGTTTTTATTCTTTACTTTCATAGTTATCAATATATATTGATATATGCATTTAATCGAATGTTATGAAAACGTCACGCTCAGCGTTATAAGGTTAAACTTCACACTATCCACATACATACCCAAAAAAATGGCTTACACAGTAGTAGAATTGGACAAGTTCGGCCCAAGTCCAGGCAGAGTCTAAGTCCATGGATCACATTTTAAGCTGGAGGATTTTTCTGACGCCCGTGGCCTCAGGAGGCTGATACACCCTACATTGGTAGAATACCAGAAGCTAGCGGCTACAAAATAGGATCAAGGCATTGTTGGCAGGCTAGATGGTAAGTCAGATGGCAGGCTGCTGTTGGCTTCCAAAATTAGCAGGCAAGTTTTAACAAGCCTACAACAACCCTCCATCCATAGCCCACAGGTAATCACAAATGTGATTTTTAAAACTTTTATAATTGGCAGGCCATTGACTGAACTCCAAAGAACCAGAGGTTAAGGGCTAGATGCAGGATCCAGGCCCAGCAAAACACAGGAAAGCTTTTCCACTGAGTAGGAAGTAGGCCACACCCCCAAGGAAACATCCTTTCAATTGCATCATGGCTGTGACCTGAGTAAGGCCCATTGCCTTCCACCCTAATCTTATAACTGGTTGACTGCCATTATGGAGTTAATTGCATTGTGTTAGTTTACATCATGGGAGATTAGTGAGTCGTAACTGCCAAATCACTGAGAATCCTGGCTCAAGCACACTACCATACAGTGAATTACAATTCATAGCAACACAGTAGGACAGGGTAGAACTGCCTTAGTGAGTTTCTGAGACTAATTCTTTACGGAAGTAGAAAAGTCTCATCTCTTTCCCCAAAAAGTACCTGGTGGTTTTGACCTGCTGACCTTGCAGCCTAATCAATGGGCTAACTGCAGCCTAATCAGTGGGAAACCTCTATGCCACCAGAGTCAAGTTGACATAAAATCTATCACAGTAATGCAAGCATAGGTAGTAAACTACTTTTCAAAGTAAAGCTGTAGTTATAAAGATCACAGAAGTAGTAGCCTGGGGACTGTGAGTGAAGCGTTATTGTGTGCTTGTTAAAGGCTTGGTGGTACAACGCTAGGAGTAGGGTAGGGCAAATTAAGTGCTTACCTCAGGAATACAACTGAAACTCAAAGCGTCAAGATAAATATTTAAGTGCAGCGATAAAGAAAAGGCTCGATTTTTTTAGATAACGAAAAGACTCCTAGGGTTCTAAAAGCATTCTTTCCCTTAGCTTGGGGAGTAGGGGATGGGTACATTTGCTTCCATCCGGCTGTACATTATACTTAGTGCATGCTTCTTTGGCTCTATTTTTAAAGAATTGTGAGGTGAAAATGAACACAAGCAGACTCTAACTTCTTGTGGTTTTTGCTTTTAAGTTCCTTATTTCTGTTCTGTATTGAACAATTCTCCTAATTTGTTTTAAATCTTGATCATTCTTTTATAGAACACTACTTACATTGCCAAATAAAATCGGTAGTGATTTTTGACAGTGGATTTAGATTGTTCATCAGAAAATTGGCTCTTTGCTTGCCTACATCTTGGCACCCAAATGTTCAATTTAACTCCAGGTATCAACCTGCCTTATGGCTGTGGTTTTTACAAAAGCTATTACCCATCATTATCATGGTTAGTTCAGATTTGAACAATTATCTACTAGATTGCTCTCATGTAAAAATGGACGTGCACCCCCTTTTTTTCATGTTTCTTAACAGTTTTTCCACTTCTTAGCTCCATGTCGTCCCAGAGTTTAATCATTTCTTGTTGTAAAGAGTTACTAAATCTAGCTCAGTATTCTCTAAATTGTATTCGATGGTGGGATTTATATGAGTCAGGAAATTTTTTAATGAGAATAAAACAAAATGTGAAACCTGTAATTGTTGAACCTGTGCTGATACTGAAACTTCTTAGCTTTTGGTACTTGATACTTTGGTACTTTGGTGCTTGAACTTCTAAAAATCTAGTTATTACACAATTCAAAATAGAACATAGATTTATTAAAAAATGAACATCTGAAAACAAAAGAATGTGATATTTAGCATGTGACGCTGTTTATTTCTTTATAATATAAAACACATTTTCTGCTAGATTGAGTCGTGCAGAGAAAAAAAACGAGATATGTCAGCCAGACTCTTGCTTACTTTGCTTTGTTTATCGGCTCTCTCCCCTTTCCCTTATTTACTTGGTTTGAACTTGATCAACCAAAGCCTCTCATGGTACCTGTCTAGCTTGACAATTTTATTTTCCTTTTCACAAATTTATACTGTTGCTAGGCAGAATCTTTTGTGCTTCAGTTCTCCTGCAAAAAGGTAATTTGCAATAATAATCAGCAAAGTGTGTGGTTATAAATCTAAATTAGTTAAATATTTATAGATAAAATAATTTTCTTAAAATATATTTATTTTGTGTGGTCTATATGTGCATATATGTAATATGTTATAGACAAACATATAGATGCATAGTATGTTTTATGTATAATATCAACAGTAATTGCATTTTTAGGGTTCAGAATCCAAATGATTTTTTCTTTACACTCTTTTTAATCAGGCTGGAATTTCAAGCTTTGTGAAATTCTCGTTTTGATGCTTTCCGTTGATTTGATGGCAGTTGGTTTGGCTGTTCGGCTATAGTTTACTTATAAATAAAAGACTTTTACTACTGAATTTTGGAAGTTAGGCATTCACTGAAAACAAACAACCCCTATGTGGTGCCATAGTTACAGCGCTCATCTGCGAGCCCCAAGGTTGATGGTTAGAAACCGCCTCCTGCTCCATGAGAGAATGGGGTGGCTGTCCGCTTCCTCAAAGATTGCTGCCCCAGAAACCTTGAGGAGGAGCGGTTTGACTCCTGCAGCCTCACTGGGAGCAGAATTGACCAGTTAGGCGTTTTCATGATGTTAAGGTGTTGCAGTCAGAGATTTTGTGTATATGTCATCTATATGGGAACATTTTAAAAACTAATGACTTTTTTCTTATACATAAGGGGTCACTGAGAGAGCACGTTCAGGTTAATGCAAGTGGAAAACATTGTGGCTTCTGGAATGTATTTTATTCTACCACTTTTGCCAAGGGAGAATGAATTCGGGAGTCAGAATTAATTTAGCTAAAAGTGCTCTTTAACAGCTTGCCCCGCAGTCTGCTTGTGCGCTTGCTCTTTGTGTTGATGTGGTGATTTTGTAAAGACGATGCAAGTTAATGGATTATTCAACTTGTTTGTTGTGGAAATAACAACGTGCTCATTTTTAATTTCATGGGACAGTGAGCATTTATTCTTGATGATTGAACATTTATTGACTCCTAAATACTACATGTTAGCATTTGCAGTTAAGAAAAAGTTAAAATGTAATTATTGACAATGAGACAGCTGTCCCCTTTTAAATTGATGAGTGCAAAGTGTGTTTGTTTATTTACTTCCCCTTAGGTTACCATTCCAGCACATACAATATCAGTGAATGGGAGAGCCAGAGTCAGCCATCCCACAGCTCCTGACGCGGAGGATGGCTATTAGATGCTGCCTGATAAACTGCCCTTGACCGCCTCCACTGCACACACTGACTTGCTACTAACGGAGAATGTTCGCAAATGTATATTCAGATATGTACTAATATATTGTCTAGTAAAGTATAAGAATTTTCTCTGTGGCTTTTACTGCCAAAAGAATGAGAGTTTATAATTTATAATGGTTTTGTCTTTTGGTCTTCTTTGCCTTAAGAACTGAATATGCTGCTTAAGAATGTAAGACAAGGTGTAAATGACGTTTCCTTTTTTAAATGAGAAATCACCTTTTATTGATTTTTTTGTTAGTTATTGACACATACTCGACGATGGTGACTTGGACAAAAGAATAAGTTAAGATTCGTAGACTTATGTTTGTTTGACATGCACATTGCTAGATAAACACATTTGGCATTTGTTGCCTCACTGTTACTGTTTAATTGGAAACATAAGTTATCATAAAGTCTGTTTTGTGCTGGAAGAATGATCCAGAAAATTAGTAATATCAAATAAGTGTATTCAGTTCAGCAGTTATTTTTAATTGTAAATCAGTTAGTATGCAAGATGTTATTTGTATGTTTTTTATGTAATTGCAAGATCACTGTCAAATTCACGGGCTGCTCATTGTGGATTAATATTTTATTAACACGGAACACTTTGTTTTTTAATCTTTAGAACTCAAATGCACAAGGAGACTTTTAAATGTTTTCTGAATATAATGACGACATTATTGTCACCCAGCTATTACACATGCTATGTGCCAGAGCCTTAAAAATCTTCCTGTGAAAATGTTGATATATTGTGACAGTTGTCTCACATTCAGTATGTAGAGAGGAATAGGGCTTAGTTTATGTCCATATTGGAAAAATTTAAAGACTCTTTGGAAATTCAAGAAATACTGGTTTTAATTCACATAAAATTATAAAGTTATTATGCTAATATGTTCAGATGCTGATAGTCTAAATAATAATATATATTTACATTAAAGCTCAAACTTAAGGAAAACAGTGCCTGGCTTGTTGACGTATATTCTGTGTCTAGAGTGTGTTGGCGTTTTAGCCCTATTTGCTTAATTGTTCGCTTCCTCTAAGAGCTGGTATGACAAATGGAATTTGCAGTAAAATAGGGTTTCACTAAAGCTACTGAAATATCTGCCTCTTTGGAACATGTGCTGCTTTTTTTCCTCCTGTTTAATAAAAGCAAACGGTATAATTGGATTGCCTTGTTTTTTAATGTATTAAATGTCAACTAGGCTACTTCTGTATCTCACCTCATGAACACTTCTCTATCAGCCAGACAAGTAATAATAAGATCTACTGGTTATCAGGGCTCCCTCATTTACAAAACATATGTGTATTTTCTCAGGTAAACTTCTCAAATCTTTGGGATAAAACCCCAAACCAATCCCACTTCCATTGAGTGAATTCCAGCTCCTAGTTACCCGAGATAGCCTCATGCATTCGATTTACAGCTGCACAAATTCTCCATCAACTAAGGGTCAAATCCCCAAATCGAATCCACACATTGGTTCTGACCACAGCAGCCCATACAGGGTTCTCGGGGCTAAATCTGTGCGGCTGCAGCCAGCTTCGTTTTTTCCCTCAGAGGCACTGTGGACTTTGAACTGCCAACCTTGCAGTCAGCCGCCCAACTCAAAAACACTATGCCACCAGGGTTCATTAACAACTAAAACTCCACTGCCATTGAGTCGAATTTGATTCATAACGGCCCTGTAGAATAAAGTAAAATTGGTCCCTGGGCCATGGGGCTTATAAATCTTTACAGGAACAGATAGTCTCATCCTTCTCCGGAAGAGTGGCTGATGGATTTGAACCACCAACCCTGCAGTTCGGTATCCCGACCCAGAACCTGCTGCAGCACAAGGCTGCTGTGGGTGAAAAAGCCAAACGTACTGCCATCAAGTTGATTCTGACTCTCGATGTGGGGCCCCTGCCTGTGGTTTCTGAGGCTTTGTCAATCTCTGTAGGAGCAGACAGGATCATCTTTCTCCCATTGAGAAGCAAGTGGGTTTGAACTGGGACCGTGCAGTTAACAGCCCAATACTTACCCAGATACCATTCTAACCTACTGGAAAAAATTCAGAAAACTTCATACCAAGTGTTGTAGAATATGTGGATTAACAGAATCTTTTATAGACTCCTAGTGGAGATACAAATTGATGCTGTAAAAATAAAAAGAATTTTATCTTATTTAGCATTTGCCTATCAATTTACCTGTCTAGATTCCCTTCTAATCGTTCTCCCTTCTGGACCAGGACCCATGAAAACTTCATCAGCGGGAAGCCTCGCCTTCTGATGTCTGGCTGGGTCTAGCCAGTGGGGGTGTTGACAAGTCCTCAGAGAGGGAAGGGGGTGAGGTCAGCACTTTGGAGGAGAGCCTGCCTCTCTGGCAGCCTGTGGGGCGGCTGAGTTCTGCGGAAAGCGAGGGGAAGCCGTTCGTACTGAGTCATTGACCTCTAAAGCTGCAGCTGCCTCCGGATCCCAGTAATCACTTCTGTGCCCTGCCTCTTCGGAGCGCTGGTTTAGTTAGGCCTTCTGCCCTGGCTAGTTTGAGCAAGTTCCATTATCCTGTGAGAGTCATTTTCTAAACAGTCCTCCTGCTGGAGCCCACAGGTTCAGCCATACAACTCAGCACCTTCACTCCTAGGCGTGTATCCAGGGAAACCCAAGTCAGTGTGTTTGCCAGCAGACATGTTCAAGAATACTTGCAACACACAAAATTAGTACTAAAATCAACAACCCAAATGCAGTTGTCAGTTAACAAGAGGATGGATATAGATATAGACAGTTGAAAATGAAATACAGAGAGGGACACAACAGCATGGATGTGTTTCAGTGACCAAAGGTTAAGACAAATTTCTAGCAAACCAGAGAATGGAATCTACCATATGATTATTATAGAATCAAATATCATTTAAGCATGCCTATTTATGATACAACCATGTAAAAATAACACACGATAAATAACACTTTAGGAGTGTAGTTATCTCTGAGGTGGAGGAGGGAAGATAGGCAAAGAACACATAGGTAAGTTATTGCTAATAGTCTGTTCTGATTTGGTGAGTTTAGAGGGGTTCATTATACTAGAGATTGATTAAATGGAAATGAGTATAAAGAATGTAAAAAATTAAAGCAAACTTAAAGAGTGGAATTGCAGACTCAGGATTCCAAATTTATCCTCAAAGTAATCATCTGTGTTTTTTAATTGAACAGTAATGCCATGATAGTTTTACATGAACCTGACTGAGGTGGACCCCAGCGGAGACCCAGGACAAGATCAGATCCCTGACCAAACTCCAAGTGTGGGTTGATGCAGTCTGGTTCCAATGCCAGGGCCACAGGGTGTCAGAATGGGCAAGGGAGGCAATGACAAACAGGAATGAGAATCGGTTACAATATGGGAAACGAAATGTGAAGAATTTTAAGAAGTTTGATTGTATCTCTATAGTTTCTGAACTAATGCTAAGTGATATTGAATACTTCCAGCTTAGGTTTCAGTCAGCCTAATCATTACTGGCTGGAATTGGAAAGAAGCCCAAAGCTGGGACACTCCCTCCGAGTGATGGCTTAGCTTCTGCATCTGTAAGATCACTTATGGACGTCATGGCTCATAGTAGTTATATGAGTTGGTCTTGGTTTTTGAACTTGTTTTTATAGTATTATTAACAGATATAAAGGGGACATCAAACTGTAAAGGCAGAAGAAACCCTATTCCAATTGATAGTGTAAATTCTCACTGCTTGAATATCAATCATTCTTAAATTCAGAACATATGTCCACAATCTACATATCTTAACTATTTAAATTGTATTCTCCTTCCTGCCTTTATAATAATAATTTCAGCTAGTGAGTTTAATATTGTGGATTGACTTGTTAATCCCAGTACTCTATTTATACAATTATTTTTCCAACTTTATTTCCTAGTTTTATCTTGCCCTTCACCTCCAGTATAATTCAGGGTAGCCTATCTTCAGCGCATTCAAGCACGACACATTGGAAGTGCTCTAACGCTTCACGGTAGATCCACAACCACCCGGGACCTCCCCTTCCCCTGGAACAAGCAGCTAATGCTTTTATTCTCTGGAACTTACAATTTAAAGAAGGGAGCCCAACATTTCCTAGGCACGTATTACGAAAAACATCCAGGTTGTGGTGAAAGGTACACAATTGAGCAATAAAAGATTTCAGTCATTTCAGTATTTTGAGAAGAGATCTCAAAACGACGTCCAAAATTAAGATCACTTTTAGTACCCCTGGGACTTCAAGCTCACTCTGTCCAGCCTTGTTGGCATAGCGGGTTACATGTTGGGGTGCTAATGCAAGGTCAGCAGTTTAAACCTACCAGCCACTCCAAGGGAGAACACGTTTGCTCCCGTAAAGACGCACACTCTCGAAATCGCTCACGGGCAGCTCTGCTCTGTCCCCTCGTTGGGACAGGTCAGATTTGACCCAGCGACTGTGGTTGGAGGCAATGTGAAAACCATTTTATTTTTTAAGAAAATAAATCAGAGAAATGAGCTTGGCTTCTTGAAAATTCTCTGACAGCTATATTTTTTAAATCCTTGTCTGGATGAGCTGTCTGTAGAGCAAGCCTAAATTCATTTAAGTACAAATTTAAAATATGTGCCTCACATGTCTTTGATGGCTGAGTTACTGACAACATGCTAAGTATGCTTAGGGATGCCCAGCTAAGGTTTTTGCAAAGTGTTCACATTGGTCTCCTGGTAGAAGCAGGAGAAGTGGAATCAGGAGAAAGAACTGACTGTGCGATTGCGTTGTGCATTGGGATAATGATGGTTGGGTAAATGGACTGTGTTTCCTTCTCCCCACCACCAGGCTGTGGGTGCCACCTGTGGCATGATTTGAGGAACAACTGAGCTCCTCTTCAACAAACATGGTGCTTGGTCTTTTCCTTGCTTCCCCGAGTAGTTGTGTATCTCACAGCAAAGGTCCCTTGAGCATCATGGAGACTTGGCCTTAAGGGATCGTCACCACTATCATGAGTTGACGGGAGTCAGTTCCAGCTCCTGGCCTCCCTTCGTGTGTCAGAGTAAGCCTGGGCTCCTTGAATTTCCCAGGGCTGATTTTGCAGATGTAGATCCGTCACCTCGCCTTTCTTCCAAGACCCCTCCCTCGTGGTGAACTGACAGGGCTACCTTTCCGTGAACAGCCAAGCAGTCTCACAATTTGCACCACTTGGCAACTCCTAAGATGTAGTGAAGCAAAACAAGAATTGCTTTCCTGTGAGTCAGTGGTCATAAAGAAATGAGAAGAAACAAAGAAAAAGACATTATACCAAGCTGACTGCCCCATTCAGTGGTCCTGATATGAGATTCTACTTGTTCATCACTTGGAAGGGTACAGCGTGTCCCAGGCATATCAATGATGTGGCAGTGCAGCCAATAAGGCAGGGAGTAACAAGGAAGAGCGTGACTTTGCTCGATTGAGAAAGCAGGGGGAAATTGCATGTGAACATTCAGAGAGAGGTTAGATCTCTTATATCCGTACTGTATCTTCCCTTAGCACTTAGTACAAGCTTATTTCCACAATGATTCTAATTTTTAATTAATGACTATTTGCCTGCTTTGTTTTGTTTTCCAGGAAGACAAAGACTATATCGTTTTTTATCCTCCATCTCTAATTCACAAATAATAACAGCAGCTAACATTAATTTTGATCTTATTAAACAATTTATTGATATTGATTGTTACATGTGGTTCAAGTCAATTCTGAATCTTGGCAACCTCATGTGACAGAGCAGAAATGTCCCCACGGGAGTATCTAGACTGAATTTTCTTTTTTAAACAGTTTTATTGGCACTTATCCACATATAACACAATTCAATAGTTCAATCATATTTTGGTCACTTCACATCAGTTTCAAAAGATCTCATATTATGTTCTTAGCTGCTTATGTATTAGAACACTATTATGCGTCCCAGGACTCTATTGGCTGTGAATTTGGCTACAAATAAAATATTACCCCAGTGTTTGCTACAGATAAGCAGATAGGTAGGTAGGTATATTGATCGATCAATAGAGATAGATAAATAGAATTGCAATCCACACTGAAGACTGAGAAGAAGGAGGTGGTGGTAGAGGAGGAGGAGGAGGTGGTGGTAGAGGAGGAGGAAGAGGAGGTGGTGGTGGTAGAGGAGGAGAAGGTGAGAAAAATCAAAGAAACGGCCTGTTG